TCCTATATAAGGAATATCTAGTACTTTTACGCTCTATGATATAATTAGTATAGGCGCCTTTCTTAATATAAGACTACTTTCTATTAATTATAATTAATATAAATAAAATATACTCTTAGAAGTAAGGAATAATATAAGATTTCTTACTTATAGGAGTATAGAAATGTCACGAATCACGTGCACACGTGACAAGTGAAGACCAGGCGGCGTCCTGACAGGTCAAGCACCATCCATAGACTTATAGCAAATGGGGATCGTTTAGGTTAGCTAAGCGATCCAAGGATTTCCTTGGACTATGGATCACGTGACGAGCGACATGGTCGACCAGGTCGACCATGGCGACCACAGAGAACGAAGGTTCTATATAAGTCTGGCACTTCTGCAATTAGATAGGAGCTTCGTGCTCAACTTAGTTATCAATCTTATCATATTAGTTTGACATCTTTGATACAAGTAACGAGTTCACTTCCAAGTGAACAACCCGATATTCTTCTTCTTATCATAGCCTACCAACCAGCGAACACCCAGCCAAGTTTAGTTAGCCAGTTTGAGTATTCGTTACAAGAAAGTACTTAAATAAAATTAGATAATACTATATTAAGTAGAATATAAGAAACTTACCTTCATATAATATAAATAATACTTAGTACCCTAGTATAAGGTACCCTTTAACTAGATGATAATAGGCTTTATATAAATATAAGAGGACTTCTTTTTTATAATTAAATAGTTCTAACTAATAGGATAGAGGACCTTCTAACTAGTATTATTCTAAAGGTTTACTATATTAATAGAAGCTACCTCCTAGCTACTAAGAGCGTCGAACTTTTATAGAGTATCTAAGGTAGCTTAGTTAGTATTAATATTAAACTTACCTATAATAACCTTACTATTATCTAAGGAATCTTTATTTTTAGATTTATTATTAAAATCTTTAAATAAAAAAGAAGAAAAAGAATCCGAATTATTAAAAGAACCTACTATAAGTATGAAAGAAAGAGAATTAGTAGTACTAGTTAGGGTAGGAAGAAGAGATTATTAAGTAGTAAATACTAGAGAATTTAAAAAAAATCTAAGAAACTTTTCTAAGGTTTCTTAATAAGAGAAGGCTTTACTTTTACCTTTCTCTTCGCCTTTGATAAGTTAAGAAAAGCTAGGTAGGATTTCTATATAAAAGTTAGTCTTATTAAAAAGTAAAGATTAAGTATAAATACTAAAGTTTCAAAAGGATTAGAAATAGTAAAAGAGTAAATATAAATAGTAGCCTTAGCTACTTACTTCTTAGCCTATTCTATAGTCTTCTTTAGTTTATAGTTTATATTTTTATTCTTATTCTTCCTTTACTTTCTAGTAAAAGGTTAAGAAATAGAGTTAAGAAGAATAATCTTAGGCTTATTATTATCAGTATAGTACTCTTTACTAGGAGTAAAGTAATATTTATTACTACTACTAGAGCTACTACTAGTAGTAATACTACCTATAGTAAGATATAATACTACCTAAGTAAATATATTAATAAGAAAGCTTAAGTAAAGATATAAAGGAAATAAGAGATAAGATATAAGAAGGTTTAAATGAAGAAAGAAGGTCAAGAAAGAAAGGTAAAATAAGCGAAAAAAGTTATTATTATTACTTAAAAGAAAGAAGTAAACGATAGATAAGGAAGTACTTTAATATACACCTCTAGAAGCTTAAAATTCGCCTATTTATATATTGATTAAATAAGAGAATACTTAAACTAGACGTTATAGAAGCTATTAATAGTAAAACTAGTAGAAATAATCCCTAGCAAACTATACTTACTTATTTATAGAATAACTTAATAACTTTCGCTTTTATAAATAGAGATAATAAGAGGTAGATTCTATATTATTTAAGGAGGAATACCTTGGTAGAATACTTTACTTTAGATAGTTTTAACTTATATAAATAAATATATCTATACTTATTTAGGATAAAAATAAAGCTATTAATACTTAACTAAGAGTAGTTATTATCTAAGTAGGGGAGGATATAATATCTTATATAATCTAGACCTTACTTAAGGTATATAGCTAGAGTTCTTTGCTACTTGAAATAGTATACTATTTTTACCCCTCGAATTATCTTATAAGTATCGAAAAAGTTATATAATCGTTAGTATATAAACCAAATTATACTTATAAAGCTATAACTACTAGATATCTTAAACAAGAAGGTAATTACTTTCTAATTAACCTTTACCTAAATACTTATATACCTAAATATAAAGCTAGTTATTAGAACCTTTTAGTAAGTAAAGTTATTTAAAATAAATATAGAAGAATATAATACTAGGTTAAAAGTAGAAAGAGAGAAAAATCTATAGTTAGTAGTTATTTAATAAAGTAATTAGTAAAAGAATAAGAAAGGTAAGTGAAAGACTAGCTTAGTAATAATAAGATAAAAGTATATAAAAAGGAAGTAGCTCTAAGAGACTATTTAGAAAGAGTTTATGTAAAAAGATAAAGAATTTAAGAAAAGTACTCTGGAAGAAATCTCTAAACGTTAAATAATATAAAAGTACTTAATAAAAATTAGTAACTAAAGAAGCTTTATAAGAACCTACTAAAGATAAAGAGCTTTTTACTTATCTAGGTAAGAATAAGAAAAATAAAACTTAAAGAGTTTCTTTTTTAAAAGAAAAGTCTAAGACTAGTAAATACTATACTACTAGTATAAGCTAGAGATAAATAACGTAAACTACCTAGTACTATACTATAATAAACTCTTAGAAAAGAGAAGATATTTATAGAAGGTACTAGGGGGTCAAAGGGCTATAAAGCTAAGAGATATATATAGTATACTTAAGTACAACTAAAAGGTACTGGTACTACTAGAGTAGCTACTCTTACTAGGAAGGCTAAGTAAGTACTAACTAGCGCTTAAATTAGAAGGAAAAGAGAGAGAAGAGAGGTAGAAGAGTAGCCTCTAAGTAGCTATAAATAAACTAGTTCTAAGGTAAGTGTCACAATCACGTGCTAGCACGTGAGGAGTTAGTCCAGACGGGGTTCTGACAGGACAAACACATCATGGCTCTTATAGCAAAAAGGGATCGCTTAGGTTAGTTAAGCGATCCAGGAATTTCTTTGTATACAAGTCACGTGATATATGCAGGTCGACTTCTCGCCTGGTCGAGAAGTCGATTATCGACTATGTCGACAGTCGACATTGTCGACTTCAGGAACACGAAGGTTCTATATAAGACTGGCACGTCTGCCATTAGATAGGAGCTTCGTGCTCAACTTAGTTATCAATCTTATCATATTAGTTTGACATCTTTGATACAAGTAACGAGTTCACTTCCAAGTGAACAACCCGATAGTCTTCTTCTTATCATAGCATACCAACCAGCGAACACCCAGCCAAGTTTAGTTAGCCAGTTTGAGTATTCGTTACAGTAAGGAACCTATCTAAGGAAAAAGCTTTAATATCTCTAGAGCTTATAAAACTTATAGATTTAACTAGATTTAAATAAATAAAAGTACTATATACTCTTAAAGTAGGCGTTATACCTAGTAATATAAAATAAATAATAATAATATAAGTAATTTAATTTATACTTAAAAACACGCTTATTTATAGAGATTAATTAGCTAATAAGGTAGGTATCGTAAGCTTGAAAAGTAGTACGTATATACACTACCTTAGGGGATAAGTTCTTTCTCTACTTCCTTAACTAATTCTAATTCTTCTAAGGCTCTCGACAACCTATCCTTATTATTCCAAGTCCCTCCATAAACCATCCTCATTATTCCAAGTCCTTCGATAAACCATTTTTATTACCCTACCTCCCTCGATAAACCATCCTTATTATTCTAAGTCCCCCTCTAAATCATTTTCATTCTTCCAAATCCCTCGATAACCCATCCTCATTCTTCTAAATCCCTCGATAATTCATTCTAATTCTTCCAAGTCCTTCGAAAAACGAATTCCATTGCTTTAGCAATTTCGATCAATAACTACTCAAGGTACCTAGAAATAAGAAGATATAGAATCCTTAGAGAAATAGGTACCAAGTACTTTTGTCCAAGTTCCAAGTACTACTTACTATTAAGTTATTTCACAACAACATTCCGCCAATCTAGTATAATGCTCTCGTCTCGATGTGGATTTATTCCTCGTTCCTTAGACTCTTATACTGAGATTGACATTCCGCACTCAAAATCACACACACAATCACAAACACACTCACATCACATCGCATCACATCTAAAAAACAAATCAGAGAAGAATATTAAGAATTTTCCGACTTTCATTTCTTCATCCCCCACCCACACCAAATTCCCTTTTGCGAGAAAATTGGTAAAAAAAAAAGTCCCGAAAGATCTGTAATACATTCCCTTTCCATCGCCATTCAATTCCCCTCCCCCTATCATCCCAAGGATGAAAGTCAGGAATTTTTCATCATCATAACAAACCATCGTAATAGAAAGGCGCAATCGCAAACCGCATTAGGATCATAGAAAAAAGTCTAACTAAAGACACAGAAGAACACCGTTGGACACCCCGCCCC